ACTCTCCAGAGGGAGTTGACAGGTTAAAGAAACAAGCAGTGGCATAAAAGAGCACCTTGTCTGAGTAAACAGCTCGGAGCTTTTCATTTTCATGAATGTAAATGTTATATCCACTGCCAGGTGAATGTACAATCTACTGGCTGTTACTGACTGGGTTTTTTCATTTACCCTCACATTGTAGAGGACCAGTTAACTCAAAAGAATCATATAGCCCCCGTTGGTAACTAATCCCTCATCTTGCTGCTTAACCACCAAATTATGATGAACCACTTGACCAAAGTTTGTATTTAAGGAGGGCTTAGTTTCTCTGGCATAGAAACATAGAGCACATATTAGTAAAAATTTTCAGTTAAAACAGTTCAGCTTGATCGGTGACACTTGTGAGGGTGAAGCTGATTAGATACGATGCCTTTTGTCCTCTGGATTTGACTCATTGTGCTCTTTTAGATGAAGATTGATGGCTACACATGACATGGTTCAGTGCCTTTACATTTCCAACGGAAATAACTGATTTTGCTTTCATATATTCCATCTATTCCACATTGTTTCTTTATTCATTCATTAACAACAAAAAAGCTAAATGTAGCAAACTGTAGCACGATTTTTAGGCATAAAGCATCAACTGAATTTCTGTAGGCTTAAATGCCCTGTTCAAAGGCACATCACTGTTTCACGAATTTTATTCTGAATTCTCTGTGATGCCACTTAATAATCGGGAGCTGTCTAATTTGTTAGAATATACAACTATTACTACTACTACTACTACTACTACTAGACCTCCAGTGATAGTGTGTAGTTTGTTCAGCATCAATTGCTTTTATTAATTTTGTTTTAGCACCACCTGTTAAATGGCTACTCCATTTGTGCACTTAGAAAGGCTTCATTAGCCTCAACCTAACACCTGTGAACTGTCCTTCTTTCATAATGAAACACAAGAATTTTTTTTATGCTGCCTGTCCACTACGTACTGGATTGGCCACTTCTGTCATCCCAGCAACTGTCACAGACAGTATAATGTGGTTGATATTGGATTGCTCTCCTCCCTTGTGCTGTTGTCTGAGGAAATCCCTAAAACCAACATAAGGAAGAGCTCTGTGTTAATGAACCCACATTATATGACCATGGGAAGAACAAAAAGGACTGAACAGCACACAGAACAACATCAAATAAGTATACAGTTTGCACACAGTAGCTCTAGACATAAGGATATTCTCACAGTACGTGTTGCCACTAAGTTTAGTCATAGCCAAACACAACCTCCAGTTTCATTTTTATGCAGATGATCAACAGGTTTTTTTCTGCCAATTGTCCCCAATAACACAAGATAAAATATTTCCAAATTTTGTTTCAGATCTTGGTACTTCGGCTCCTTAATGTAGACCTGTGATGAGGAATTTGATTGTATTGTAAGAGCTAACTTTTTTCAACTCCCACTTCTGGCTAACGTTAAACCCTTCTTAAGTCAAATGGACCTTGAAAGGCTGTGCATAGTTTCATGAGCTCCTGTTTTGACTGTTGCAATGCACTTTATGTTGGAACAAACCAGTGTTCCCTCAATCGGCTCTAGTTGGTGCATACCGCTGCTGCTTGCCTGTTGACTAACACTAGGAGACACAGTCACATCCCTCCTGTAGGCCTACTTTACTCCCTCCACTCGTTTCCAGTACACTTTAGATATGATGTTAATGCTTGTTTGTAAAGTTGATAATGACATTGAACCTTCTTATCTATGTGACATTTTACAAGCACATAATCCAGCCAGAGTTCTTCGGTCTGCTGACCAACATCTTGTGGAAGTCCCCAGGTCAAAGTCCAAACTGTGGGGTGATTGTTCATTTGCTGTAGCTGGCCCAAAGCTGTGGAATCCATTACCTTTTGAACTGCGGACCATCAATGATTTATCTTTGTTTAAAGCTAAGTTAAAAACATATTTGTTTGGAAGTGCTTTTAGTACATAACAGCACTGTGACACTTATATATATATATTTTTTTTTTGGATGCATTTACTAAAGTCAAATTTTTGTCTCTTCTAGGTTGTATTATTACTCTTGGATTGATGTAAAGCACTCTGGCTCTGTAGTGACTGTTGTGGAGTGCTATACAAATACAATCTGATTGATTGGTAAGCTACATTTACACCATGCAATAAATATTTATAACAACTAAATAAAATTACAAAGCTACATAATATACCTACTGTATACAGCTATTTACAAAAAAAAACATTTCACAGTACAGTGGTGCTAGTGGTCTGTAAAACCAGAACCAGAACCAAAACAGAACCAAACATGGAGAAGTAGCTTTTAGTTCTTATGCTCCACTAATCTGGAATAAAGTCCCAGAAAACATCGCTGAAACCCTAAGTTGCTTTAAATCAAGATGAAAAACTTATTTATTTAGAGTGGCCTTTGACTGTGCTATCTAAGCATAATTAGTTACGTTTTCTGTCCAACTTTCCTTTCATTTTCTTAACAATCATTTTATTATTAATCTTTCATTTTTACTCTGTTTTATTATCATCTTATCATTTTAAATATTCATTTTTTTTCACTTTAATCATTTGTGTTCATAAATTATTTATTACCTTTGTGCCACTGCAATGTACTTTTCCTATTATGTATTTTTCTTTTTTTTCATGTACAGCACTTTGAATTGTCTTACTACTGAAATGTGCTATATAAATAAACTTGCCTTGCCTTTTTATTACTACATCCGCTGGAGGGCTAAACAACTACCTACTCAGCCTCACCTCTTCTTCTACAGCTGTACTTTCCTAGATGTGCTGTAGTAATATTAATTGGGTATTGCTTCACATTTAAATCTATGTTAGATTTACTATTTTAACATCTAGGTAACTAGGACAGCTGGTGCCCAACCAGACCTCCTGTAACTGAGGAACGCAACATGCTTCACCTTATGAAAAGCACCAGTTAACTGGGCCCATGTGTACTGGTTTCTTTTTTATTCTTGCAAAGTCCTTGACTTCCTTCCAGGGCTCATTATTATCACAGACAGTCAGTATGCACAAGATTGTAACTCATGGTGGTTATGAAATCAAGGAAAGTATTTTATCCCTGAGGGTTTCTTCCTGCATTCTCTTATGGCAGAGAAAGGGGCCATAACTTCCCACATGTCAATGTATGACATCTCCATTGTGCCAGGAGAAAACACTCACGCAGAGTAAAGAATGTGAATTTTGACAGTGGGACATATATCAAAGGAGAAACTACATATCACACAGCCCAAGTCAACAGGCTTGCTGGTGAGAAACAATGAGACTGTTAATAATGGGCTTCTTAGAATGAGTTGGTTATTTTCCATGCATTTAGGGGTCCATCAGTGTTGGTGTTGAAGGTTGCAGAGGCTGTAATCCTCCTGAGAGTTCTGTGAATCCCCAGCATAATGTTCTAAGAATATGTTCACAACCCAAACACCCCAAAAATTACAAAGCTGTAAATAAAAAAAGTAAAATGTTGCTAATCATTTCAAACTTATTTGATCTCTTCAATGGTATAAATGGAAAAATAAGACTGTTTTTGTCTTTTCATTGACTATGCATTGTGCCTTTGATTGTGATCTAATCCATTTTTGTTTTTCAGTTCATATTGGTTAGGGTTATAAATTATGTAAATCCATCCATCCATCCATCCATCCATCCATCCATCCATCCATCCATCCATCCATCCATCCATCCATCCATCCATCCATCCATCCATCCATCCATCCATCCATCCATCCATCCATCCGATAGTCTCCATCTTATGCAAGTTTTAGTCACTTGGTTAACAGGTCCATGACAGAAACCCAGAGATCCCTGAATCTGGGGTAGATATCACCTCTGTACCAAATTCTACTACCAGTAGTACATGTCTGGAAAATCAAAGGTATTACAACCCGAGAGACATTATTTACTCATGTCTTAAAATCAAACCTCACACTCTACTCACATTGTTGTATTGTTGTGACATACTGTAATACCATGAAAGAATAGAAGGGTGCCCCAGGCTCAGACATTATTGATGCAACAGACCAAAAACATATTGAATATAAAGCAGTCAGGAATGTAGTAAAGTTTTGTTTGATACGATTCCAAGATCCTGGCTCAAAATAGACCATTAAACAACATTAACAAAATGTAATACAGGAAAGCACAGACCTGGAAAATAAGCTTTAATGGTGGACAAGAGACAAACTGTGACACAGCTCAGATTGAGACAAACAGTGGTGCTGGTTTTTATAGGCGATATCTCCCTGCAGCAAATGATCACAGTAACTGCCCCCTACATGACTTACACACAATTTTTATTAGGGCAGTCTTCACATATGTGCCCATGATAGATGGGTGTGCTTTCTTATTTCTTTTTTTTTTTGGCTAACCAAAGTGGGTCAGGGCCATGGTACACTGGAAAGTTCTACTGCGTTTGCTCAGATAATCTAATTAACGATATTAGAAAGGATTACCACAAACGTATAGTTAAAAGCTGCTATCTGTGAAACTAAGATCAAATTTAAATGTATGTAATTGAAGTTGAACCTACTGGGATTGAATTGTGTTGGTTTGATCTGATTATATATATCTGGATTTGTCAATAATGCAATGACAGTATGTTTTTTCAACAGTTTACAAAAACTCCAACTTTTCAAGTAAACGTACAAATGTTCTCAACTTAATATGCAATATACTTTTTTTATTATTAACCTGTCCACATAATACAGCTGGGAGTCAAATTATTCATGCGTCTACACATTTGTTTAGGACCAAACTAGTCCAGGTGCTCTGCACATCCTCCACAGATCTCTGTTGTCAGCTTTGCCAAAAATAGAACTTGAAGACGCTGTGGTACGGTGTGAAAAATGATTTCTAACAACTCTGACAAAATCCCAAATGGTTCTACATTTACTAAGCCTAATGGTGTTAACAGGTTACTGATATGCTTGCTGCTGTGCTTTGCTCCAGTTATTGGTGACTGCCTTCAGTGTGCCATGATGCATGAAATTGGGGAGTGGTGGCTTAGTGGTTAGAGAGCAGGGCATTTGTATCCTGGAGAGGCCACAAGTACATTGGTTCGAATCCCACACCGTGCCACTCTGGGTCCCTGAGCAAGACCCTTAGCCCCTAAAGGCTCCCTGGGTGCCGCAAAATGCAGAGGATCATTTCTCCTTTGTGAGATCAATAGTCAAAATTATTAATATTAAATTCTGCTTATTTTTTTGGTCCATTCTCATGACTGATATCTTTTGATCATTAGTTACCTCTCTGCAAATGATGACTTTAACTAAAGGATGCAAATAACCAAATGTCATGAAAATACACCAGGACAGGTTATTCAGATTCATTGTAACTGATGGGTTGCTTGGGTTCATTATTAACTATTAAAGCAATATTTTAGGTGTCTATGCAACCATATTTTATAGAGTTTATAGAATAATTCTCTAATAATTTGTTTGTTTATGGTTTGCAGGTTAACAGGGATGTGTATACTTTTGAGAGCCTGTGTTTGTGTGTAAAAATATGAAACATCTGCCTTAAAAAAACATAAAAAACCATCTCTGAAAATCCAAGAAGTGTGCTGCTCACCTTAAGGAGGCAATATACACCACCTATTATGCAGTCAGAGAATATTGCTGGCTCTCTGCTGCTGTCATGACTGACATCCATACAGTAAAAGCGAAGAGTGGAATTCTGAAAAGCTCACCTCAATAATACATATTTATATTAGTTATCATAGAAATGCTATTGAAATAGATCTGACCTTGCCTCAGCTTGGGAACAAAAATGAATTATATATAGCCCATACAGACCTTACTTGGCAAACAAGGGGGAATAATACATACTATGAAGTGCTGAAGATGCACTTTTCAAGCTGTTAAGCCAGGGGGACATTCTTATTGGTGACATGTCAAAGCCTGGAATCCACAGGAGATGCATTCCTGGATTTGTAAAAGGATTTTCTTTGAAGCGGATACTGGTGAATATTAATGTCCAGCGGTACTGTGGTTGTCTGGCTTTGTGTGGCTCAAAATGGTCATGACAGCATGCAAAGACACCGCACAGGTTGGATGACTGAAATCAGAGAAAGCAAACTACTTTTTAAATCTACATTTAAAGGTAAATTTGACTTTGGGAGGGAGATAATATAGAGAAAACTGAAATCTCAAAGCAGTATGTGGTTTGACTACTTTTTAGGTTATAAGCGGAAAATGATAAGTGAAAGAGTGACCACTCATTGGTTATTATACTGTCTTTATATCTAATGGTAAACTGCTTTTGTAGTGAATGAGGGCACATAAATTAACTGAATCAAATTCAACTCAACTTCAAGTGGATCCCTTCAGTAATGTCTTTCTATTGGTTATGTTGTGTCAATTAGTTTGATTAAACTGAGCAATAGTTTATTTTTAATTATAGGAGCATGTTTTTTTTCTTTCAGATTTGCCTTGACTAATGCTCCACACATGCTAATGCTATTAGCCTTGTATTCATTTAGACCTCTGTCTCAGTAACTCTGCTTTATAACAATTAATCTTCAGGGAGCTTGACCTTTTAAAGGGGCAGAAGTTTAAAAAGAGGCCATATGAAACTCAATTTTGAAAGGCAATATGTCAATTTCACTTACACCAGGACCTGCTGGATTTAAGATTATACAACATGAAACATATAATCTTAGAGATAACTGCATTAGGCAGCAGTTTTCTAGCTAAAGTAAAAATCCTTTGTCTGAGAGACCTGTTGTGCTGCAGTATTCTATGCATTACTCTTCCCAGTAAGTGGGCTTGAATGTTTTCCTTTGCTTGTTGTTCAGTGTGCGCCCCCTGTCACTACAATCCCTGTCTATGTTGCCTGACTTATTTTTTTCTGCACATTCTCCCATGCTTCTATCTCTGTCTTTGTCTTTTTGTTCTTGTTTCTTTCAATCATGTCGTCTGACCTTTGTTTTTATTTTAAAACTCTAAACCTTTTCATATTTTGCCATTTTAAAACTCCAATATTTAATATATTTAATTGTGATTTCATTAGGAAAACCAACACAAAATACTGCAGAACTGTGAGGTGTAAGGAAAATTATGCACGATTTTCAAAATCAACCGCTTTACTCTGACACACCTAAATAAAATCCAGTGCTATTAATTATCTTCAGAAATCTTGATTAATCAATTCACAGCATATTTCATTTAAAGTACAAGAAAAATGGCTCCAATTCATATCCATAGAAAAATACTACAGATCAAACATTTAGAAACAAGTTAATGTTTCTGTTTACAGTTAATCTCTTAAAAACTAGGATTTTGGGATGTATTTACTGGATAATCAAACTTTGCTTTCATTGATACGCACTATTTACCTCAATTTAGCTTGAGGTATACATTGATGAGTGTTTTTGAATTGGATTGAATTGAATTGAATGATACCAGACCGTGGCTGAATAAATGTTAACAAAAAAGGGCTTAGTTTCAAGGTTGAGAAAATTTGCAAGATTTACAACTTCATTGCTATATTAAAAAACAGATTAACAATCACAGTTTGTGTGTCATGTGCACATATGCCATGCTGTTATTAAAGTCAGAAGAGACTTAGTCTGAAGAAAGCGAAGTCTAAGCAGGAAAAACCCAAATATCTGATAATTATAGTAAAAAGTTATTATTTTAAGTGACTCTTGATGCTTATTTTGTTGCAAAGAATACCAATGGAAATATGATCTTTTCTGGTTCAAATTTCAACTTTCTTCCAATTTTTTGGCCTGTAGTGTGTATAATCAAAGCAATCCAATCATACAGGCAGACTGGAAATTCAGTTACATCCATTCCAGTTCAAACTTAGTTATAATACAACGCAGTTAAAGAAGCCCAGTGGATTGCATTGAGACATTTACTTTGCAGCAGTCATTTATCGTAAACAAGCACGTGGTGAAGGAACCACTCTCCTTTAACAGGGAGAAACCTCCAGTAGAATAAAGCTTTGCATGAGAGGCCACCTGCAGCATTGGTTGAGGATTTCAGAGGAGAGAGCAAAAAGAGCCAATGACACACCTGTGTGTAAATAATACAACATATTTGTACTGTTCTTTGGCAGCAAAGGTTTTAGATAAGTAGCTGATAGCTGGGTGTAACATAAAAAGTGTAAATAAAAAAATACACAAATACAATTACAAATACAACTTTAAAAGAATATGTGTGCTTAAAATTTCACATGGTGATGTGTTTTAAATGCAAAACATATGGAACAATAGAGCTTAAGTTCAAGTAGATAAATCTGTAGATTTGTATTTTTTTGTCTTTTTGTATCTGTGTTTATTTTCTTTGTGATTGTATTATAATTGTATGTACGGCGCTTTGAGAGTCTCGTTGCTGAAAAGCGCTATATAAATAAACTTACCTTACCTTACCTTACCTTTTTTATTGAAATTAACAAGCTATTTTTCTAAAGATGAGTAAATATTTATCATATTTTGTTTCTTAGAGTAATGTGTTTAAAACATGACATGGATTTCAATACATAGTGTTTCCTGTCAACATCTCCATCTTCACATGCAGTATGAGCAGTATGATGAAAGTGAAGAGTCGTTGGTGGACAGCTGAATGTAACTCCGACTCCTCTCTGATTTCAATCACATGTTTTATATTCTCTCTTCATCTATACTGAAGGAAGTCACAAAGTCATGGAGCTGCAAGGATGAAGTCATGACCTCATTTTATTTTCAATCACTTTTCATTCAGTATTTTTTACTGATGGTGGTAGCTCAGCTGCAGCACTTTCAAATCCAAGAATGTCTCTGAGAATGATGCATGAATCTTTCAGGCTTATTTATCTACTAAGATTTTATTTATAACTATATTATAAATATGTATTTTATATATATATATATATATAATACATATTTATAATATAGTTATAAATAAAATCTTAGCCTTGGTGAACCAAACCTTTCAATTTTAGGGTTTTAGAAACCTAGAGACACATAACACTTCTGATAGGTAATTAAAGCCTCAGATGAACAACAATGGATGACATATTGCAGCCTCTGGTTACTTTTAATTTACAAAAACTAAGCCAAAACCAAAAAAATCTATCTGTGAAACACTGAGCTCACCTATATTATATGTAAAGGTAAGTGGCGGGTAGGTGATCATAATCAAATGCATTTGATTTTCTGCTAATCAACAATACTGCCACAAAAATATAATATTTAATACCTGATTATCAGGTAACAATCAGTGTAAAATAATTAGTATTTGTTACAGACAAAAGAAAAACATATTTTAATTCCTCATTGTACTGCAAGCTTCCAAATCTTAAGCTTTAAAGCTTAAATGAAAAAAGATTATAACTAATTTTCTAATCTAAAATCAGATTTTAGCTATTATAGCCTGAAGCAAGAGAAATAAAAGAGCCTGGGCATGTTAAATGATTCAGTAGTAGAACTCTTAGGTGAATCAGACACACTCCCTTTAAATGAAAATGCAGATCTGCCATTGAATGCCTCTGAGTTGTAAACACAGATTTAAATGAATAGACCTGGCTGCTTTCCTGTTAGACCACAGTTGACTCCCTGACAGACAGTAGGCAACATATTTATTTGCATATAAGTGAGACCTCATCACAAACCCTCCACCCCCACACCGGCCCCCAGCCGAGAGCCAGGACATATTTTAATGCTAGGTGTATATGTGCCTATAGCAGTTAACCTGAGACTGAATCAGTCAGCCTGAACAAATGTTTTTCTCCTGACACCTCATGCTGAGGTGGAGATATTTTACATTTTCAAACCAGGATTAATGGTGCCATCGCAGTGGGTTCTCCTAACTTGTAGAACAGATTGCTGATCCTCATAGAAACACCAGACAATTTAGAAATATTTAAGACACAATTGATGGTCCATTGTTGTTTAAGGATATTGAGAAGTAGAGCTTGGAATCTTGATCTAACATATTATGTTATTTTTTATTTTAAAGTAGAATGTTTTGTGATAACCTTATTCAGTGCCATTAGTGCTTTACTTTGTTTTTCTGGAATGTTGTTTCAATAGTTTGTATCCAATTGTCCAACTATGACCGTCTCTATTAAATATTTTAGAAATCAAGCATTTTACTAA